GTTCCAGGTGCCTTATATTCTTCCCCCCTCCTCCACTTCCCAGATTCTGCCTTTTTCCATTTCTTCGGGATTTTCCCAGTTTCTCCGAAAACAAAAAACAGCCATCAGGCAAAGCGAGAGAAGGGGAGGAATATAAGGCACCTGGAACAGGAAAAATTGGGGAAAGCCAGCAACAAAAAACATTTCACCAAAAGCTAATTTGACCCTCCCCCACCTCCACTGACGCTCCTTGCTGGAACTTCTCAACATACGATGTACCCTGTCTAAATGTGACTGCTTGTGCTTCAAGTGAACTGTGCTAATTAACAAGCAATTTTATTAACAACTGCTGAACGAAGTTGTTAGATGGAACCTCCATTTACCCAGCAATCCATCTTTCTCTACTCCTTCAGAGGCCGAAGGTACTATCAAAAATGCGGAGTGTAGGTGACGCTGTGTTCATAACCTCAGTGAGGGAGAAGATGATGGGATCTTTATTCTCCCCATTTTTGTCCCTAATAATTTTAGTAAGAAAGCACGCTCCGAATTTTGGGCGGAACTTTCGACCTCTAAAATAGTACTATAAATTTCGCCCAGATGAGGTATGTTAAAACTTCTTGGTGGGATCTTCGACCACTGAAATATATGATATATAAAAAGGTCGCATCATCGAAAGAGTAACAAGTGTTTTCGCGGTCTTATCTGGGGTGCGAGAGCTGGGAGCTTACACGTCAAGAGCATAAGGGTGCAGTCGTGACCCCAGCAAGGGATAGGGTGTATAACGGGGACCTGAACTGGAGCGTAGCTAGGGTAGCCTTCAGCATCGATCACAGCGGAACCAGGATGGCATCATTGATGGAAAAGGCCGCATGGCTGCGCTTCAATGCACTCTCCAGACATAGATCATACATTCTGCAGGGATCTCGATTAATTTGCGTTCAGGAGGTCAAACTTCCGCCGAGGACAGGTTTCTAGCCAAAATTCCTGCCGGTGACAGATTTTGATAAACATATGGCTTGAAATCCGAAAAATGGGTCAATGAAGCGTAAGCAGACTCGAGCTTTCAAAAGGTAACTTGTACAAGAACCCATGGTACGGCAAGCTATTCCAGACTTCAGTGAAAGCGGAGTCACTCATCAACCTACACTGTAGAGAAATCATACCTGGTCTAGCTGCCTTCGGTAAGACAGGCATCGACAGGGTCCTCATACGATCTTCTCTGTCGGTGATACGGACAACCTGAAAACAAATGGATCTTGAAGAGCACCATTGTAAGGCAGCTCTCATCGCAGAAACGACTCACCAGCGTCGGCCCACTGTGTAGGCACTCTACTTCCAACGTTCCACTACCTGGCCGCTGTCGCTGAATCCTCCACACCTAAATGAAAAAGGGTTAGGGATGAGCTAAAAGTGTTATTTCTGAGAAAAAAGGGCAAATTTCGCTCACTTGTGATGACGATGGCATGACGTCATCTTCGTCAGCTTCATTTTTAGAAAGGAATATATTGGGAGCCTGATGAGTGACCGCCATGTTCGGCAAGCCTTCACACCACAGTCGTCCATCCTGAATGTACATTTTACTATTATTACTACTCAATGCACGTCCTGCCATTGGAAAATTGTTGCAGAATACCCCTTCCCTTGAAATTTCCTCCTCTGAAACTTCCCTTCCACACCCCCCCCCCTCCCTCCCTCCGTGCTAACTACCACCTTCCTAGTTAACAGAAGTTTTTCCCCCCAGATCCCTCCACCCTTCGCACCGAAAACTGCTGTCGACCGGGGAGAGGGATATAGAAAACATGAGAAACGAGAAAACCGGTGAAATTTAAAGAGTCCCTAAGCGAAAACAATTTTTTCCAGAGGCAAATACCATCCCCCCCCCCCGCTCGCTGGGATCTCCGAGGTACGACGTGCCCTATTACTACTATGGCGTAGTTCGGACGGCGGAAGCTGAACGTGCACCCTCTGGCTGTGCTCATACTTCGCGGATATGAGAACCGTGATTTTGAAGAATAAACATCGAAGGACCAGAGAGAACTGGCGGACTTTGCCCATCCCATCCAACTTTTTAGAGAACGCGTGATTGGGACAACAGGTTTTCGACTGCCATAAGATTCTATGCTGTCACCTCTCCCGAGCCGCGGATTCCCGCATAGTATAAACACGGCCAACTGGCACAAAACTATCGAACAAACCGGAGAAAAGGTCCACTTCTGATACCGATCACGAGCTGACGATCGTGGTGTCATCATAAGTTGGAAACCCATCCGTTCCAATACATCCAGAACCTAAGTGACATACGGTTAGTGATCCCAAGTTTTTAATATACTACAAGTCAAACTAACCATTCGAGTCTTCGAACGATGTGACATGCCGACGTTTTCTATACACCCATCTCGGCACATCACCCACAGCTGATTGCCGCTGCTGAAAGAATTGTTAACATTCTCACACGAGCAATCTTGACCACAACAGCACGTAATTGAAAGGACATGGGGAAGCACTTGGCTTCAACCAGAACCTTCTGTATGCGCCAAGGGCATGACTTTGAGTAGAGACTGATCATGCAGTTTGACCTATGCACCGACACGCAATACAAAAATTT